CGGGAGCTGGAGTAGTGGAGGGGCCGGAGGGAGCGGGCGGTGGAGCCGCTGCCCTCGTAGTCGAAGACCAGGAGGGAATCGTAGGGGGGGGCCGTGGGGTCATTGTCCGCCGCGCGCAGGCCCTGGTGGGGGCAAACACACGGCGTTAACACCCGCCACGGGGTTTTGTGGCGCTGGTGCTAAGGAAGGGTGTGTGGGTAAGGGGGCGCCGGGGGTGCCTGCAGCAGAGCTAAAAGAGGATGGGTCAAAATGAGGGTCTTTGGGCTTCCCCGTGCCCATCTGCCCCCCCCGGGGGAGCCCTCCCGGCAGCCCCCAGCACAAAATCCACCAACTCCCAGCAGCAGTGTAACCGCCGGATGGAGCGGGAGGGGAGCGACTTCCACGGATCCAGCTCTGGATCTGGAGAGCTTTGCATTCCAGACAGCGTCTCCTTTCTGGGGTCACCTGTTAAGATTTCCAGCATGGCCAATGAAAGAAGGAACGGCGCCCTTCCTCTCCTGCCAAAACCCATTATTTTAATTTTCACGATTTTGATTCCTTTAGGAGAAAAAAAATATAAATCACTTCTAGCCAAATTCTGTAAATAGGAGAGACGAGGTGTGAAATCCTGGGCAGAGGGTTGGGAAGCATCGCTCTCCTGTGTGCTGTGGGCAGCAGCGTGGGCAGCCAGGGAAACGGCCTCGGGGCGTGGAGAAAAGGAATGGCTTTGCTGCAGCCCAGTGTCAGGAAAAGCCTGGTGGAACAGAGCTGCAATAAACCAAAATGTTCCGCGGTCGCACCTTCAGAAACCCCAGTGTCAGCGTGGGGAGATGGAGCCGGTGTTACTGCAGTGAGCAGCAGCCGGAGCACGGGCAGGAGCGCGTCTCCATGTGCGCGGATCTGTGTAAATGTGTGCGTGAGGGATGGGCAGGGACAAAGGAAGAAGGAATTTTAATGATGAAAATGAGAAAAAGCACAGCAGGAAATGGATATAATAATAGAATTAAATCGCTGTAACATTTATTTTTCTGACTTAGGAGATGGATGGTGTGTTTTGTCTCGGAGGAAATAATGCATTGATTGGTTTGTAACCACTCAATCACTCAAAACTAAAAATGAGGTAAAAAATACTAAATGGATAGATATTTGGACAAGCAGATAAAGGAGCGGTAATCTAACATAAAATAAAGAAACCCTCTCTGATCTGAGATGAATCTCTCTGTTCTGCAAGCTCTTTGAGGTTTCAGACCAAAGAGAGCTTACTAGAGGAAGACACAGATTGGTGAAATAATGACAAGTCCATGCGCCCCGAATGGCACTTTGGGCTTTAGGGAACCCACGCAGGCGCCCGGCCACCGCCTGCCCCCAGGACGGCACAGCATCGTCCACGTCCAGCCCACGTTCTCACTGACAGCAACTGCAGTATTCATAGAGAGCGCGGGATGAGGTTGTGATCAGCCCGCATGCTGAAACTGTGTCTGTGTGTGTGCGATACCCACAGAGATCTTGGGCTTTTTGTTTGCCCTTTGGCTTTTTACAGGCTCGGTGCCTTTGTGTGGCCAAGTCCTGTGTCCTTTCTCGTGCCAATCGCTGCCCTGCCTGCACCAGACCCCTCGGGCGAGTAATGGCATCGCTCGGGCCACGCGGGCAGCGAAACGCTGCCTAGCTGATGTCAGCTGGCCGCTCAAGCTTGTGCGGTGTGACACAGCAGACCCTACAGCACATACCTCATTGATGAAGTCACCAATATCCCCTGGATGTGGGATTACTGGTCTTATAGGGTACTGCGTTTCAGCACCGATAGGTCTTTCATCCACCCTTCTGACTCCAGGTGTCTTGTTCAGCACGTGATCCATGGTCTCTGGCTGCTGGAGCTGGCTTAAATCGTAATCCTGTGACAAATGGAAAGGCACAGCGTGAAACCAAGAGCTTTGCGTTCAGGTCATCTACTCATCCAACGCACAAACAAGTCGAGGGGTCTAATCCTATTGCAGCTGAAGTTTGATGGCAAATCTTATCCCCGGCTATGTAGCACCTCTAATTACCTAAACTACAGATGAACCTGACCTCTGAGCAGCTCATCAACTGACCTCCTAAGAGTGTATCTTAAAACAGAAGTTAAATCAAATATTTAAATACTTTCTGAATATTTTACACGGTGTCTAAATCTTTGGATAAAAAATTGGCTTCGGTTTGTGTGTGCACAGATATGTGCATAACTTTTTGATGAAATACATAATATAATGCGAAGACACAGTGTTGGTAGACATATTATTGCAATTACATCTGTACGGAAGTAAAAACATTAAAATGTGTATTGCATTTATGCATGTGGGCCTTTCAAAGTAATTATGTTCTTTCTGCCTGTGAAAAATCCCAACAGAATAGGTTTCTATCAGGGAATGAGACCAGGTAATATTTCATTAAAAATGTATTCATGTAGGTAATGGTGTTTTGCTGCTCTTCCTTTGCTGTTATTTTTAACGAATCCTTTCTAAAATATTTAAGCCTACAGTGTAGTTGCCTGAAACCAGATACTTCAGCTAGTTTGAATGCTTATAACAGTACTTTGTTCTACCGGTAAAACTGTTCTTGTGCTCAGATGGGGATGATTGAATCTCCAGGAGCAATATTTATAAATAACTTGTCAGTGACAAGAAAAAAGAAATGCTAATTGCAAGAATTTTTCTGTTGAGTAAGTTTCGGGCAGGGTCCCTGCCTCGGCTCCCCGCGGTGGCTCTCGCCAGGCTCCCCCGCTCGCCCTCGGATGCCCCCGGGACCCCCAGGGCAGGAGATGCGGCCGTGGGCTCCTCTGATGGTTAAGCACCAGCCCCAACCACGGACCGCGGGACTCGCTGACACCAACCCTGCGCACAGCGGCCTCTGCACGGACCCATGAACCACACAGTCCATTTAAGCAAGCGAGAATAAAGCCGTTATATGATGCAGAGTCACATAATTTGTGTGAACATCGTATGTGAGGGCGTCGTGGGCTCTTTACGTGCGTTAGGTAGGAATAAATAAACAGCGACTTAAACATGAGAGACAAAACCCTGCTATTTTAGCTGAGGAAATCCATCCGTAGCAGAGGGACAGCACGGCCCAGGAGTGCAGGCCAGGCAAGTTTTCGTGCAGCATCAGCATGGGTGTCTGTAAGAAGAAGCCACCGCAGAAAAGCTGACGCGTTCGGGCAGAGCGTGGCTTCGGGCTCTGTCACCAAGCAAAGCTTTGCCACCACTCGCTTCGTGGTGAAAAAGAAAATCCCCAAATCTATTCAGACGTTTCTCACGAACTACGTCCAGAAATTACAAGAAATTAAAGGCGCATTAGAGACGATTAAGTAAACGCAGGGAAAGGCCACAGAAGCTCTAGGCCCAAGCGAGCCAAGGCAAGTGCCTGCAGCCACAGGCCTGGGCAGCGAGGCAGCTGCTAGCTGGTTTACCAACATCTCTGATGGGGAATGGGAAAACAGACAATTTTAATGACTGAAATAACAAAAGTACTGTTTGAATGTGAGTGTCGATGTGTTGATTTATAGTCTCTCCCCAGGAGCTGGCCCAGGGCACCAAAATCCATGTAGCACTGTTGTCCTGTCACGGTCCTGTTTGCACAGGAGTGTCCCAGTGCCAGGCTGGACCGAAGCTGGCTCTCACCGATGTCCACACCACACCAGGGAAGCCAGTAAAGCTGCCTGGGCATAAACAAGGCGAACACAACCCTTTGCAAGTACTTTAGTGAAAATAATGTGGTTACTGCCGTTTTGAGAGTGCAGATTGCACAGCTGCTCCTTGGCCGCGACCCGCGGGCTCCTCTCACCTGGTCTTCCTCTCCACCCCCCTCTTCGTCGTACTTCAGAATATTGTCCCTGACGTCGTCCTCGGGGTCAATCAGGAGCTGCTTGGTATGGCGCTCCTTCTCCCGGCGCTTCATCCACACCACGAAGAGCAGAACCATGGCTGTAACGCAGAAGAAGAGGGGTGAGCCGGGACCTCACGTGGCGTGAGGCCACGCTGCGCGTGTCAGAGCGTGGTGGCCTGTCCTAACGCCTCCCCTCCCCTCTTCTGCTACGGAGAACCGCAATGGCTGCCAGTAAGAGGAATAAAATTTTATGCTACTGCATGTTCTAATTTGTAAGGGAGAGACCAGGGAGTGCTGTAAATACTGACAGGCCTCCACTAAAAATGTTTCTTTAAGATCCATCATGAATGCTGATGGAGCTGATGTTTATCACAAGTCACACACACAATCAAAGGAAAAGCAAACAGAAAGTGTGAAAACTGACGCTTTCTGAAAATATTTGATCTAAATTCTGAATTTTCAGGATTATTTTCCACCTTTATTTCATTCAGGGGCATAAAATAAAGGCGGAGGAAAGAGAGCTGCAGAGGTGCCGAGAAGCAATCAGGTAGAGATGACCACTGGAGCTGTGCACCAGCGGCTGTTCCACCCACAGCCATGGCAGTCGCTCTGCAGTGCACCTCCGCCACTGGTTTGTGGAGGGTGCGTAATACCGGGTCGCATAATCTGATTTGGGCTCACTTATCTTCTTTTTAGCTGAGTGATAGAGGCTTTTTGGCCTTCCAAGATTACATTAGCCAGCACATTCTCTTATGCATTTGGCCATTGAATCGCCAAGCAGATCTAAGATCATCTGAAACCCTTTCGGAGAGCGGGGCTTGCTTTGCAGAACACGGGAGAGCAGATCTGGCAGCGCACAGCCAACCTCCTCAAGCACCAGCAGCTACGTGCCAGGCACCGGCTAATCTCGCTCAGGACGGTGACAGAGAGATGAACAGTTCTTGAGTCATGAAATGTTCCCCCCGCCTTAAACAACTTCACCCAAAGGGAACGCAGGCTCTCTGCTCCACCATCTCCTTCTTCAAAGGACCACCCACGTCCCACAGGCTGTGCTCCCTGTGACACGTGGAAGTCACTCTGGGAGCTTAAGTCTCCACTAGCATAAGGCAGCCAGATCTTGTCTTCTTCAAGAACCTGTTAGTACATTAGTTTTCATTCTCATACATAGTAGATGCAAATAATGCCATCAAAAATGAAATTAGGCCTGGGCAGCTGACACGGTTACGCCTCCCTGCGCCTTCTCTGCCTCCGTTCTCCACGCAAGCCACACACGAAGCTGTGGCGATGGCAATCTGCAGGAGAAGGGTGAGATGACAGACAGTGGAGGCGACAATGTGTGGCTCAGGTTGATTTGACTTAGGTCAAACCCTTGATGGTGCCAAAACACTGCGGCCAACACAAGGGAACCCAGGCAGGACGTAAGATCCCAAACTCTCTTTGTGGTCTTTGGCTGCATAAGGAGAACAAACCACCAGATTTTCTTTCCCTCTCCTTCTTCCCAGAGTCTCGGCGTCGCTTCGCCATGGGCAAGGATGGAGAAGAGCCCAGACCCCGGGGACACGGGCGGGCAGCCCAGCCCTCAGCCCCGCTGCGTGGGGAGGTGGTCGGGAGGATCTGAGTTTTTCCCCCCAGCACCAAAGTGTTCATACCCGACAGGGATTCAGTGAAGTGAGCCGAAGAGGACCGGACAGCTAATTACTGCCTTTGTGTGCCAACTGGCTGCCATCCCTGCCTGCCAGCTAACAGAATTGTTTTCAAATAGTTCAGCATTTCTTTAATGCTTATCCTAGATCTATTCAAGAGAGAAAAAAGGCAAGAAAATGTAACTCTTATCTGCAATATAAAACCTCAGCTATTTAGCAGACTATTGAAGTCCTTTTCTCGTTGTTCCTTTTCAAGTCTCTCACAACAAGACACCTGCCTAGTCCACAAAGACAATATTATAATGGTTACTAGGGTTTATCTTTTTCTCCCCCCCCCCCTTTTTTTTTTAAATGCTACTTTTTTCATGCACTTGTGGAAAAAACTGTGCCATTAATGCCTTTAGAGCTACCTTGGAAAAAAAAAAAAAAAGACCTTCAAAGTGTCAATAGCAGATGCAGTGCACTCTCCTTCCTTTTATTCACTCTGCAGAATGGGAAGTGCTATTACTGCTGTTAGACCCATTTTCACTCTGCATGTAGTTTTCCTTGAAATCTATTGTCTTCACCCTTCACAATTTTTTACTGCATTGCTCTTCTAAATGTGTTATTCGCGCAGCTAATACGTCAGGGAGCAGGAAGAAGAAAAAACCTCTGAGTGAAGGTAAAGCCAGAAACTTCCTTCACCTGAGCAACCTCAGATCTGTCCCCTTGCTGCTTCTTCCTTTTAAAGCCATCAAACTTTGACCTGCTGACTTTAAAATGGACAAACAGCACAAAACCCCCACATCTGCCTTTTTCCGGGCTCTTGTTCAGAGGTCACGATATAAAACAGGTAGAAAGGAGGCAAAACACTGGAAGAATGTAACTGGAAAACTGCTCATCGCAAATTACATTTTTCATCACTGGTACAGTGCTTTGCAGCTCTTGAAGATAAAAAAAAGTCAATTAGAATTACAATGAATGTAAAAATAAGCTTTTGTAATAAAAACCATAATTTAAAATGGGATAATATATCTGAAAATGAAAGGAGGAATCTCTTAAATCAAATGTCCTTCAGCTGAAGTTAATTTCAGTCAATAGGGTTCTCAACTGTTTAAATCACATTTTAGCACTGGATTTATATGAGAGCAGCAAAAAGCAGTCCTGTGGTTTATCACCTCTGGGGCTTCCAGTGCAAACTTTGAGCCCACCGGCAGCAGCCCGCCCGCCCGCCAACTCCACGTCGTCTTCGGGGTGTGTGCGACTGTGACGCATTCGCAACAAACGCCGCTGCCGAAGGGAGCAGCCTGTTTGCTGCTGGGCCCCGACACCCAACGCGGGACAGACACGGGGCACGGTGGCTACGCACGGGGATGCTTCCACCGGCTCAGATGGGCTGGATGGGGAGCGGGGACGGCACGGCCACAAACACCCGGTTTTCTTGCTAGCTCTCCGGACTCATACGGCAAATCAATTCTACAACAATATTTTCCCATCGCTGGCCCAGGAGGATGGACGTTTGCCCAGAGATGACCCATTCTCTTAATGTTCTATATCATATCCACATTAGGTGACATTTGTAGCATATGTCGCTCTGTCTGCTCTCTGTTTAAACACATTGGGGGTAAATATTAAATGTGATTTAGCACCATAACTCCCATTAGCTTTAATGGGAGTCCCAGGGTTTCATCCTGTGTTTCTTGATGAATATTTACCTCATTGTTCATTTCAGCACTCGTTTTTATCTATTCCTACTGTGCCAACTCCTGCTTGAAGTTATAATGATATCATTTTTATTTTTAAGTGTGTGCACACATGGTTATTGGTAATGCCCATGAAAGCCCAAGACTAATAGTGTTGCTGGGCAAAAGGGATGGCTTTGCCTCGAGCAAAGGGATGGCCAGCCCTCCGCTGTGATGCCCTCCCAGCGCTCCTGCCAAACTGGGGATCCTTCCTCTGAACACACTCACACCACCATGATTCTCCAATCTGTTGTCATTTTACAAGCAACGGGAATAACTACCGTTCTTTTCCTGTGAATAACCAGAAAACTCCAGCTACACACTGGTTCTGACAGGGAGTAGCCAGACTTTCATCACCAATGCATCTGGTACTGGGAATCAGTACCTCCACAGCCAGCCAGGGAGCTGAGAGCTATGAGCGGAGTCTGCCACAGGGTTTTGGACATGTCCTTCAACTTTTTCCTGCAAAATGTGGAGAATCATATCGTACTCACTACCTACAAGACATTGTCAGGTGTAATGATGTTTGCAAAGCTACTGGAAGTCTTACAAAGAAAAGTCCAATGCGGGCAGTGAGTGCTCCAGCTCGTTTTGCTGATGCGGCAGTGAAGGAGGATCGAACGCAGATGTGTGAACCCCCCCGCAGCCCATAGCTCACGGCTCTGTCCTTCGCGCGGAGCTCACACGGCTCTTGAGAAACACCACGTACAGAAATGGGACAACGGGGAACAGGCTGGGAAACACGACGCCTCCCAGCAGGGGCAGCCCCTGCGGTACTCACTCAGTAAAATGATGATGCAGATCAAGATGGCGATGATGGCACCCGTGCCCAGCCCCGCGGCAGCCACCGCCCCGATGGTGGTGCAGTCGCCATTCTCGTCGCACGGGCACACCTTCACTTTGATGACGGATGTGTTGTACAAGGGGGGGTTTCCCGAGTCCGTCACGATGATCGGCACATCATACACACCCGCTTCCAGGTACATGATCCGCAAACTAAGCTGGGCGTAATCGCCTGGAGGGATGGAGACAGACAGACAGGTGACAGACACTCTGGCAGAGGAGCCTTGCAGCCACACTTGTACGGGCAGCGCTCCTCTGCCAGAGCAGTCTTCCGAGTCCGGAAGAAGAGGCTCTCAACAACACACCTGGGCAGGACAGCTTCAGACTTCTGCCCTAACAGCGTGGCCGGTAATCAGTCTGGGATATTTTTTTCAAAATACTGTGTGTTTTCACTGCTGCGCTAACCCACCTTGATGCCGTTTGCAAATCCGGTGGCACGCACTTAAACTGGCATGAAATGCAAATAGTGAAGCACGGATGACGCTCCCTGGGTCGGGGCTGCCCACTGCGCAGGCTCTCTGCTCGCCCACCCTCCCACCCCAGGATTTTTCGGAAGCCCATCGGCCGTCGTTGACCTGCTCAGCCACGTAATCCTGCTCGCCTTCCCTTCCATTGTGACACAAGGGCTGTGGGACTGAGCCCCGAGCTGCCAACGCTCTCCTGGTCTGGCAGACTCAGCGAGAGGGACCAGCTCTGAAGCCAAAACCAGCCCATGGCTCCATGATATTTTCCATCCTTTTCTGAAACCGCCAGTAAGAGGAGCAATTAGGGCCAGTTGTGGTTGCGTGCTGCAATACAAAAATCCTTCACGTACTGGTAATCTTCACACTTACCTAGCCCTCCTGGTTCTATGGTAAATTAAAAGGCTGCCTTTATGCAATTATGGTCAGAGAAATGAACATTGATCCTGATTGTGGCTTATGACAATTACACTGGAACATAAGGAAGACTGATAATAGCTTTTTTCCCCTTGGCCATTACGGATGATTTATACTCTGTTCACTACTGATAACTGTTCATAATTATGAACTGCATTAAAAAAAGCCAAGTGCCAAGGCTCTTGGAGTTATGCTGCAGGTCTGATACAAATCATTTCTGATTAACTATCTTGTCTATAATGTCAGCCATAATGTGCTTTAAAAAATAAAAATCAGATAAAAAAGTAGGAAAGTTTGGAAGTCTGAAACCGCACGTGGCCTCATTAGTGAATCAGAGTCCAAATGTCCTCAGGATTGCCTGCCCCATTTACCATTCAGCCGTGTTATGGTCCAGTTCTTCCTCACCGCAGATGGCACACTTGGCAGCTCGAAGACAAAGGGCCCAACGTTTGGATCGATGTCAGCATCCGCGGCTGTTATGTTGATGACATTCAGGTTTGGCTTTTCACAAATCTGTGCCTCCTTTGGCAGAAGCTCAGGAGCGTTATCGTTGATGTCGATTAGGTAGATCTGCAGAGTGCCAGTGCCGCTCGCGGGGGGTATACCTGAACGGGAGAGGCAGAGCTGAACATGGACCAACGACCATCGCTCGAGAAGCAGTGGGAATGACAACACTGTGGACCAGCCCCCTCTCTACCTTCCAATTCCAATAAACCAGGATTTTCACCCTCCCTTCTTGGACCTTATTAGGGACATACTGCACTTTCATGGTCCCTTGCTTTAAGAGATATTATTAAAACTTCCCCAAGCCTCCTAATGTTGCCGGTTTTCACTCCTGCAGAACATGGAGGTTGAGTTCTGCAGTTTTGTAGCCTACAGCAATGTCCTTAGTCAAACTCTAAAAATACAAGGAGGTGATGCCAAGCTGCTAGTGCAAATTTTGGTTGTTTTGAAGAGGAAAAACCATTAGGAAGACAGCTAACAAGAGGAGGAAGAGGGCTTGGAGAGAAAATAAAAAGAGTAAGTAGTGTAATCCACTGGTCAGCATTTACTGTAGCACCAGTTTTTAGATTTGCAGACTATTTCACTGTTTCAAAGAAAACCCAACTCTCCAGCACACCCCACACTCAGCCCTGGCTGTACTGGTGAAAGGTCCTTGCTCAAAGGCTACGGTATGAGCTAACCATCGCCAAACACGGTGGCAATGCTGCTGACCCATGGCAGCAGCTCTATGTCCCAATACACAGTTCTTCATCCTCTGCATTTGTCCCAACCAGCAGGGATGCCGCAGCACGGCAGCCTTGGTTCTCCAGCCCCCCACCGATGATGAGCCACATTTGCCTGACTAACGACCACTCACAGAAAGTCATACCTGCCCTGGCAAGACAGAACAGCCTTCCCAGAAAGGGTGCAGTATGTTTAATTTCTCTCGCCGTGCATACACCTGGCGGCTCCGTGGTGGCCTGCCCACCATCTCCCCTCTCAGGCGGCGCTGCTCCAGCAATTCTTTAAGTTTGTATTTTCAGTCCTGGCTCTTCCTCCCAGCGCTGGATATAAAGTTACACAAACCACTTCCCCTCTAAGTTTTCAAATGTTGCTTCTGCTTCCACAGACTTTCCTTCCTACATTCCTTTCTCATTTCTGCTCTGTTTTTCAAGGGAGCCTTGAAAACTCTGAAGGAGCTCTGAAAAACCTTCTTTCATGGTTCCTACATAAGCTCTTCAATCATTGATCTCATCCTTTCATCTAGTAAGCATGGGGTAGGCCTCCCTCTAAAACAATGTCTTTGATCAGCCTTGAAAGTTTCTGGAGAGACAGACAGCCCATCAGGATACTGGGGCTGAACACGAAAACTAACTTTCGGGACCAAGCAAAGTGATTTCACTGTTCTCACATTACCCAGAGGATCTTCTGGGATGAACACAAGACCCACACTCTCACCTCCGAGACAGACTGAACGACAAACTAGCAGTCCTCAGAGGCACTAACCCGCACGTGGCTGAAATAACCTGCAACTGCCGCCCGTACGAAGGCAGTTTTGTAGCGCTATTGGGTATTGTTGGGCTTCGGTTCCTGGTATGTCTGGCTCTTTGTGCTCCTGAGTGCAGTTCTGGGGCAGTCTCAGAAGAAATGAAAATTAAACAATTTTTTTAAATGTCCAAGTACTACAAACCATGGAACACTTCAAATTATTTCAGCTGTCTTATGTGGAGAGAGCAAGGACTACCATAGCACCACTGACTCCAGTGGAGAAGATGGTCCAATCCCTGAAATTAAGATTGAAATACTAATGACAGTTATTTCAAAAGAAAGAGAAATACATACAACTGCTACATCTACATTTAACTGTTGTGTTCCCCATCACCGCCTTCTTCTCAGTGCCAGCGTTGGCACTCCTGGAGCAAGGTACAAGCCAACTGGCTTTCGCGTTCAGTCACTCCCATCCTGCTTGTGCAAAAATTTCTAAGGAACTCGGGCCACTGTCCTGACAAATTACAGCAGAAATGAAGTAAACTGTGCCCGTGGCTATCCAGCATCTTCTTGTCATTGTGCGCCTGCAGAAAAGCAGGAACCCGCATGCAGGGTCACTAATGCAGCCTGGTCTTCTACAGGATTGGGCCCAAAGGGGGGTTCCCAGAGGGTCCTCTGACAGTGAGGAAGGGGCAGGACCCCGCTTCAGCTCCCTGTTTTATGAAACCTGTTGGAACACGATATGGCTGAGTTCTCAGCTTCCCTGTGAGGTTGGCTGACACTGGCTGAAGGGTTCAAAGGCTGCCAGGCTCCACGCTCATGTAGACACAGTGTGATCCAAGAGCCTCCCTCTCCTGGGAAACCAGGCCAAAAATAGGCTGTTGATTAGGATTCCCCTTTTTGCCCCCTTACATTGCAGCCAAGACTTTTCTTAAAGTGAGTTATCTCTGCACTGTAGCCCAGGAAGAGAATGAGAGCATGTCCAAGGAGTATTTGGCTAAACATCTTATTTATCATATACTGAAAAGAGCAGAAAGAACTTCAAGGAAACAAGATGCTGCTGCTTCTTCAAGAAAGAAAGAAAAATCCCCACCAAAACCCCTGACCCAAAGCCTTTCTTTGATGAGTACGTGATGCTGGAGAACCTGGAACTTGGGAGAAATGCGGAAAGACTCTATTAGCCTAGATGAAACTTTAGCTGTTCTCCTAAGCACTCTAGACAGAATTTTAAATAAGGTGTTGCTTTATGTGCATTTTAATGGCTGCAATATACCAGTGATAGATTAATTTTTCAGAATAAAGACATTTATCTAGGTCCTCACTTTCTGAGCTGCTGAATGATGGATGTGGAGGTGCCGACGCACTGCAGCATCAGCACCGAAGCCAAGGAAAGGGGTTAACTCCAAATCACGTTGTACTAAGGGCCCCGGATTTGCAAGGTCAGACGGTGAGGATTAGTTTGACGGGTTCAAGCTCTACCACTGCTTTTGTGAACAGCCTCGGCCAACTCATTTGACCCGTTTCACCCTGTGGCTCTTGCAGATGAATGCTGCTGGATCCCCTTAAGTCTATTTTGGATTTCACTGCCCTGGCTGTCTTCACAGAGGGGAAGCTTAGGATGGGGCTGTGGGACCACCCCAGTCCTACCATAGATGGCACAAAGAAGGGGCAAAATTTGCTTTTTAGTACTGCTGCTCAGCATTGCAACTCTTCCATGAGTTTTCCTTGTCCCTGTGAGCCAGGATGCAATGACTGAAGTGAGGTCTGAAACCCCGGAGGGAGCGAATTTTCCTTAGCCCTGCAAGCACCCCGCATCTGCTCATAATGGACGTGGCACCCTTCAGCCCAAGGGATGACAAGAGCTCACACAAACACTGTCCTGGAAGCACGTACAGAGTATGAGCAATATACTCAGGTGCTCACAGCCAAGACTAGAGTTAATTGTGTTGCTGTTGCTCTGGTTTGATGTGAGCGCTCAGCACCCTGCAGGGGGAAGGCGAGGGTGGGACAGGAGGAGGAAGGCCCTCTCCTTGCCCAGGGAAGCTACTGAGCCCTCCACAGAGCCAGTTCCAGCTGGAGGAACCGATGAATGAAACAGCAGCACGGCCACGTTCAGGTATGGTTAGCAAAAATGTCATCAACTCCTCCTAAGCAGAATTAGGAAGAGAAACTCAGAGCAGCAGCAATGGACCACTTGGCCTTGAGTACGGCCAGTGATGAGGTTCACAGTGCTAATCTGACCAAAAGCACTTCATGAGTAGAGAAGGGCAAACCTTTACTGGACTTCTCTGCGAGAAGTTCTGTACCGGCCTCAGCGCCTTTGATAATAAAGTACACCAGCACCCAGAGGCTCTGACGATGCCTGGACATTTCGGAAATCATAGCAGACAGAGAGAGATGAGTTCCGACGACAGACAGACAGACAGACAGCTCTCATGAAATCCACAGCAGTCCAATGGACTGGCTTATTTTTAATACCCTCCTGCCATCCCCTACAATTATGTCGGGTTTCTGATGGAACGCTTCCTGAATGCTCCGATCAGTGCCTTTGGGACGATCACCAGGACCGGTGTGTTCGGCAGCCCTCGGAGAGCACATCCCTTTGGTATTTTTTTAAGTTCAGGCTACAGCGCTACACTGAACTCCCCAAATCGATTTTCCATTTGCCCTCCCTTTCCCTTAATAACACTCTCCGTATACTGTGCACATTTAATTTACTCCAGCAATTTCCCGTCCCACTTTCACATTTTTGACCATAAAAACCTGGGAAAAAGATAACTTATACTGACAACTCTGTCAGGGCATCATTTCTCTTAATGCATCACATTAGAGTCTTATTGAAGCATGAACAATGTGAAGCCTGGGCTCACCGTTGTCAGCCGCCAAGAATGTGGCCTCGTAGACATTATTCTTAATGTAGTCTGACTCTCGATCAAGGACAGCAGCAGTAGTGATCTGACCATTTGTGGCATTAATGTTCAGCCAGTTTGCAGGATCTGACAGCTTAGAGTATCTACAGAGAAAGGAAATAAATACATGGCAGTCTTTCCACTGACAAATCCTTAATATTGCTTGAAATAAGGTTTTACTGTACTCCTGACCCATGATTCAAAGGACCTTTGGATAACTGGTTTTGTTGACAAACAAAATGCTAATTGAGTATCTGGTTTTTGACCTCTACAATTACTCAATTTTTCTATTATTTCTTTCGTTGTAAAGGTTTTTCTTTCCACTAAGTGCCACTTACATGCCAGCTTCCTGCTGCTGGGAGTGGACATAGCCTGAGGTCTCCGTAGCCGAGGAGAAACGGGGTCTGCAATGACCGCTGCATTCGTATGCCTGAACTAGAGGATGGATTCCTGCTCTCTCCTTCTCTTAACGTTGTCCTTCCTAAAATAGCCCTTTCTCTAAAGCCATGGACATTCCTGTTTTCTGCTCATCACTAATAAACAACAGTTTGGGAAATACCACATTGGAAGAATGGCACTCTCTTGTATCAGAATTGTTTTCTTCAGCAGCAATTGCCGTGGGGACACTGCTGTACGAAGGTGTGGACACAGAGGTGAAGCACTTTCAGGTTTGCTCTCCTGAAACATTTTTAGCTATTCCTGAAATAGCAGGTAAGATGATCGTATGCACGTGGGAGGTTCGAAGGGAGCAGCGACAAGGGGGTCCCCTTGGCAGCCCCCCGCGTGCCCTGGGCTGGAAGGAGCCAACTGCCAACTCACCTCCCAACTACTCAGTCAACTCACAGCCCAAGTCTGCTCATGTCTTTCACAGCCAGCTATCAACATGGTTTGTTCTGGGCAAACTTTTGCCATGTTCTTCAGGTAAAAGTGTGCTGTTGACAACTGGCCTGTTTTCTTGGTTTTATTTTATGCGTTGCTTTTGATTTCTACCTCTCAGTTTTGTACAGTTTGAGTTCAGGTGGACCCTTATTACTTAAACTGGAAGCTAATAAATGGCCAAACTATAAATTACTGAAATAAGCAAACAAAAGCTGAGTTTATTTCATGGGTAACTCAGACCTACTGATAGTTTTATGTACATTTTTTGTAGTTAGATATGCAGGCAGGAGAACTTCCGGCTTCTGGTGAATATTCCTTTTCAGAAATGGGCTGTTTGAAGCTGAAACTCAAAGTGAACCTTGAGCTGTGTCAATCCATGTGAGCAGGAAAGCAACACACAGCTGCACAAGCCCCTGCCAAAGGAAGAAATTACATTTCATGGGGCTAGACTCTTCGGGATGTTTTCATTTCTTTTTAATATCACTGCTGTGAGCCTCCTGCCCTTTCTCTGCTAAATGACCAGGGATCCAGTTTCAAAGCTGGCTTTGTGAATGTGTCTGTGGCTAATGAGGATAACTTGAGGTGTGACATTGGCCATGCCAAGCTGTGCCTTACGGGAGATGTTCCTGCTCCCTTATCTTCTATTTGTAAAAACTCTATTTCATCAAAGACTATTTAGAGAGAGACTGAAAACTGTACGCAAGGCTCCAGCAGCTGGACCAGCTCTCTGCGAAGTGCTTATCATGGATCTGTAGGCTTAGCTATTTGGTCATCTTTTTTCCTAACTCACCAACGCCAACTGTGAAGGAAAACCAAAATATCCTTTGCACGGCTCACGAAGACAGGACCCCAGCAAAAAGCCTTGGCACTGGGCTGTCCTGATGAAAATGGGGTGAGAGAGACTGTTTGGGTTTGGGATTGATTGAGTTTGGAACCGCAGTGCTGGTGGATACTCAAAATGTGCATCCTGGAAGCCCTGGGGAAAAACCAGCTCAAGGAATTGGCTGTTCATATTCACAGAAAGTCTTACAAGACCCTGCACAGGCACTGTGCGGTGACGGGAAGGGCTCAGCGGAGCCGGTCCTTCTCCCAGCAATGGCAGATGCTCGTTTGGATTACAGATCATCCACTTCCAAGTTAGAGGGAGTATTCAATCAGGAATGAGCTGTTCTCTCCTCTGAAAACCAGCCGTGGTACACACGTCAGGGAAATAAAGACCCTTCAAAGGCCAATATTTCAAAAAGAATGTAAGAAAACCTGGCTTGTTAGTTAGGATGGTCTCTCTCCTCAAAAGTCGCAATACCTGTCTAAAGACAACAAGCTGAGGCAGTGAATAAACTATCATTTTCTAGACCAGACAGCTCTGTGCCAGGTGAAATACTTCAAACTCTTCCTGACATGAAATGTCACAACTGATGTAAGTTTAAGTGGCCTCAGCTGTGATCACGTCACATACTCAGATTTTGCCAAAAATACTGCGGTCCTTACAGACTGGGAGTAAAAAAGAAGCAAACTTCTGTGGATGTAGAGGTATCCAAGAGCAGGAAACGCATTTCCTGCCTGCACAGACAGAGTCTAAAATACTTGGGAAAGGTGTCACAAGGACTCTCATTTTCACACACGCTGTTCGGCCAGTGTATTTCCCGGTGGGAAGGTGCGTGAGTCGGGGTCCTGGGCTGTGGCTTCAGTCCCCAGTCTGCCCAGGTGGGACTAAACACAGCCAGTGACACGCTCCTGGTTGCAGCACGGACGAAATACGATCTTCAACTGCTTAGATCAAATATCTGACTTCTAGAAAGCTAAAATTTTCCCAGCTGAATCCATTCATCGGGAGAGCAGCTAACGAGGAGGTTATGTTTGGCAGTTGGTCTGAAGGGAAAGGGAAGGTCAGAACAAACCTCGGTCGCTGCAGAGCAGGTACGGGCTGTGGGGGTGCTGTGTATGGACCGGCAGCAGCCAGAGAAAGACCAAGTGCCCGTGGCATGTGAACGGGTGTCTGACTGCTCGGGCAGTATTTAACTATACGACATCTTAAAAGCCTGTTCAGCGGCTGTTCGTAACCAAGCGAGCCTTGCTCGGGCCAGGCCCACAGCTCCTCTCGCACTCTGTGTTTTAAGGCAGGTTGAACCTAAATCCTCTGGCAGCTATGCAAGACATGGCCAAAAATCCCAGTCAACCCCTTTGGAAATCGAGCCCTAGTCCTTCCTGTGCCTCAGCTTACCCCCTGCGAAACAGAAATAACAAAGCTGCCTTTTTCTAAACCTCTGTAGTTTTGAAATGCGTGAACAACACAGGTCAAAGCATCCTTGACAAGGCAGAGACAAAACACTTAGTACAACGCAGCTCCGACCTCTGCCTTTGCACCAAGGCAGGGACCCCTTGCCACCGACTGCTTGCATCTGAAGCTGCGAATGGCCCCTCTGCAGGCGGGTAACGAGGGATCCCACTCCGCCTGCGCCCCCGGACCAGCCGCGCGCCTGGCTTACCTGCGGGGAAAGGACAGCGAGTTTACGGGCAGGATGCTCTGCAGGCACTCGACTGAGGGGCCCAGTCCCTGCCAAGCATTTTACTCATATCACGTCAGTTAGTTTGTGAATTAGCTTTCAGCTGCTTTGGTCCCCAAACTTGTGCAGCTGAAATCGCCCGCCCGTACAGGAGCTCCCTCGGCTGCTCGGTCTCCCACCTTACTGCCTGCTGCATGAAGCGGTCGGGATCCACCGCTGAAAACGTTGTCAGGACTGTCCCCGTAGGCACCCCTTCTTCCAGCCTGATTAACTTGTGGTTTGTGGGGAAATACGGTGCTTCGTTGACATCTGTGACTGAAATGGTGACTCCTGCTGTCGACTGGAAGGACATCTGGATGCCACTGGCCAGGGGAGCCTGGTTTGATACCATCACTGTCAGCATGAAAGCTCTGTTCATCTCGTAATCGACTGCCTAAAACAAACAAACAAGCAAGCAAGTGTAGAGCCAAGCAGAGAATAAATTCTACCTTCTGGCTGAAAGCTGCAAGATTGAGAAGGCAGACGATTTCAAAGGCATTGTCTCATCTTGTGTCCTCCTGAGCTCGGTTCTCTTGAAGGTGTAAATGTAGACCAGCTTCAATCCAGTGGAGGATTTGGCCTTCCAGTATTTGGAGGGTCAAATAGTTAAAAGTGCCCCACAAGGTAAAAATCGCAAACAGCAGGGAGGATTTGCCCTGTGTTTTGTTCCAACGCTAAGCAGTTTCCAAAAAAGAACCTGCCTGTGTTAGCTGAGCATCGACTGAACAAATCCACCACGGGCTGCTCTAAATGCAACAGGCGGAGCCTCTTAGGAGGGCCTGGATGGGTACTTAACAGCGCTAACGGCATTTAAAGCTGCAGACTAAGTAGCGAGGATGGTCTGTGTGGACTCGTGAGCCTGAAGTGCTCTTCATTCTCCCTCCTGAGTGAGTTTATAAACAAAGGTGGAGCTGCAGGGACCAACGCTTGGTCCTGAGCATCAGGCGGTCCTTCCAGTGGGAGCTCTGGTCCTCTTGCAGGACACCTCCTGATCTCCTGAGGGTGCCTGCGCGTTCCCCCGGGTGCGTTATGCTGTTGGGTGGCCACAGATCTCCTTTCAGCACACACGTAGGGATGGGGTGTCTTAGGAGCCAGAAGGAGTGCAAAGCCTTTGCTGGCACAACTGACTGAACCGCAGCATAATAATAATTTCTAAACCATCCCACTAATTATTATGAGGGAAGTCACTAATCATCTGCCAGGGAGGCTTGAGTTATGCAGGATCACACCTCTGCTTGTTAAAAAATGCTTTGCTGTAATTTATGAATTTAGAAGCGTAACTGTTCTCTGTAATACCTTCTCCAGCGCTGAGTCTGCAAAGCGTACTCTCGTGGTGTAAAACGCCCCGGTTACACTGAATTCGGCAGAGCTGTACTGATTTACATCAGCAAGTTCTGGCTTCCATGCTCTGTTCAAAACCCAGTATTGTCAGGAGAGAAATCAAATCACAGGAGGCTACATGAGAGAAACTAATTTCAGGGGCAAAAGGTAAAACACTGGAATCTCTATTTGATTGAAGTGCAAATGTTCCTATTGCTAAATGGTTTCCTGACAGGCAGGGCCAACATTTAATAAATAAAAGGAAGCATAAAGATTCCCAGTACACCCACCACCACTGACTCACGGACTTGTACCGCATTCAAAAAAGACGTATGGTAAAAGTTCCCATTTAAACACTATTCAAGGCCTTGAAACAATTTGATTAATGCATTTCCTCTATTTCTTTTCCCACCCCTCTAATTTGCATTCCTCCAGTCTTCGTTTTTTTTGTCTGTGCTGACCCTGCCCACAGCCAGCCTGCACCTCCTCCCGCGGGGGCTCAGCCGCAGCTGAGGGGGGACGGATGCGGGAAACCACTGCCCGAGGATGCTCAGGACACGCTGACCACACACATATCTGGGAAGATGTGGCCGATGCAAGGGAGAGGGGTTTTTCCCCCCCAAAATGTAGAGCTGCTCACTCAACTTCTTTCCCTCTCTTCTAGGAGCAACAAACACAGGGCTGCAGAGAAGCAGCGGAGGGAGCGGGGCCGGAGCGGGATCGCCCATTGACGCCCATCCCACAGACTGTCCTGGAGGCATCAGGGCCACGTGTGGGCACGTGGTGGCATGGTGTCCACCGCGCTTCAGTCTGCAAGAGAGAGCTGATCTGCTGTCTTCTTTTCTGGGCTTGTCTGAGTTCCATTCCACGTTTTGTTGAAAAAAAAAGGTAAAGTCAAGTGCCTGTGTCTTGATGGCAGTGTTTGTGCTATTCTCCTCGGTGGGATTGGACCCCTGGCAGCCAGACACAGCTCAGCCCTAAGCAGAACTCCTTTCACACCATAATACGCCATTTCTACCAGGACAGGTCATACTTCTGCTTCCTAAAACTGCCTCCCTCTGAGGATAACGGTGCACAAAGCACACTGTGTTCTTCACTTCCACCTCCACACACCTCACTGAAATGCTGCATATTGCTCAGGCCAAGAGCAGGACAAAGCCACACGGAGCCGTCACATCTGGGACAAGGAGGTGCTGGACTGTCACCTACTTTTTAATTCCATGACCAAGAAGCAGGTGACGTGAACTTAAAAAGTAGCACCTTTGCAGATACCCCTTCTTGGATGTTTGGTGTTCAATGTGGCACAAATGGCTTTGAAACATCCCCCCGGAGATGCTGCACCTCCTCCTCCTCCTCCTCTCACCTCCCCGACCTCGATGGAGCAGAGCGAAGCCCAGGGCTTGCCATGTGTCCTCCTTTTCTCAAGGTACTTCTAACTGAAGTGAACAAATTTGCCTTATGTTATTACGGAGGCAAATAACAACCGAAGCTTCAGAAGCATCTCCATTATAAATTCACAGCTCTGATCCATGCAGAGTTTATAATAACATTTTACTTCTCCAGCTGCCACAGGGCAGCCACTGCTGCTCTTGGAGATTGTCTTCAGACTCTGTGGTGTCTCATCTGAGTGGGAAGTTCCTCTCTCCCCTTGATCAAGGCTTTCTTTGAAGATTAGGGTCTTGCACTGTTACGGAAATGGTTTGGAAAGGCATGAACAGAGAAAGGAAATGTTACACTTTTAGTGATTGGACCAGAGCTGCAGAGGGGGTTTGCTGAAAGCGGCTGCAAAAAGGCCCCCACGAGCATCATCTGCACTCCAAAGGGCCTCCTGGTTTGGAAGCATTTCTGGCCCCTAAACTGCTGGCGGAGGGGTGGGATTCTTCACAGAACGCCCTTCTCTGCGCCGTTTCTGACTGCTGTGGCCCAGATGCAAACCCCTTTGCTTGCAGCAGTGGGGAGTTACGTATAAACGTCTGTCTTTGAAAGAGCCACATGAAAATCCAGCCATGGAGGGTCTGAAAACAAAAGGTTCGTTACTTGACTTAATTTTTCGCCTGTGTTTTCAACCTACATCAGCGATCAAACCAGCAAGAGACGGCTCCCACACCACGAAGAACAAGCTCCGACTGGCCACCCAGTTTGACGTGCATACATTCCCCAATCCTTTAAGCGTATTCACTTATTAACAGAGAACAAAATATTTCAAAGAAGAAGGTGGAATCCTAAGAGCCTTCCCTTCTTCACCATGAAAATTTAATCACAAGCAATTTCACTCATTCTCCTTGCTGCAAATACACCAAAAAGCCCCCCGGCTTGATATGCGTGAGGCACTCCGGGCGCCCAGGAGGATCAGGTGAGGTTATACGGTGAAGACATTCAGCACAATTTCAAGCTTTGAGCTCAGCTTGACAAGGTAGGATGTTCATGTGGTTCTTTGCATTGTGATCGCTGTGGGTTACACAGCAGTGGAAAGTCAACACCAGCACCAATGGCGTCTTGACAAATCTGCCCTGCTGTCTGCCTGCAAGTTCCGAGTAAGGGATGGTTCATTATGCAGAAGTCCTTGTGTAGCAGCGATGATCATGTAAATCCCCTGTTGCTCACTTTGATGTGCCTTTAAACTACAGTCATGACACTTCACTAGATTAAGAGTAAGGGGTTCTCCCCTGCTCTCAGGGAAAGCGTTGGCATTTCAATGTCAGAGGGGCTGCTGATGTCAATGGAAGTTAATTTTTTGCATTTTACTTTGTTGAATGTTTTCTGTTTTAAGCAGAAAATATATACATATGGATATGTGTATACTTACATATACACACACACATCCACATACACGTGTGTCTGGAACTACTGCTAAGCTTGAAGAGGTTTTGTAACGTTGCACCAGATAAGGCTGTCAACCGTCATTACAGAGCAATAAATAAAAGGGCTGTGCTGAAATACCATCTAGCAGGTAAGATGATGTCGCCCTTAAAGTTTCAGCAAAGTGGCATCTGCAGACACACACACACAGCCTGAGGGCGAGAGAACAGGACAAGCTCACACGTTCCTACCAGCGTAACCTCGTTGGCATTTCACTGATGTCATCTTCCCTAATACCCAAACTGTAAGTATTAAGAACGACTGCAACTCATTAGCTACAAGGGAGGGGGGCTCTTTTTTTTGCAACACAGAGCTATTCTTAAATCACTTTGCTCTTTAAACATTCATGTTTCATCCTAAGTTGTTGATTAAAACTTTTTGTTAGAGAAGGGCAGACTCATCAAGAGATGTGGGCTTCGTCCACCACAGCACCTATTATCCCTCTCAGGTGCAGTGCACGGTGTGCGCCTTGTGAGCGCCTATAGAGCACAGCAGCCTATTCCTGACACCTTCACTTTTTTTGGCAGTCAGAGGGAGCATCCATAGGTATCTTATCTGGGAAGAGATTCCATGAACGCTGAGTGGATCCGGTTATGTTCTGACCGTGTCGCGACTGCAGAAGCATTCGCTGGTCTGGTGGCCTCAGCAACTGAATGGGAAGTGAACGCTCAAACGAAGATAACGTCATGTTCTTTGGGAAAACAGAATTTGATACTTGCTGCAGATACCTTGAGTGTTGCAGCTTTCCTAACAATGAACGCAATGGATGGAAGAAAGAAAGGACAGTGGATATTTACAGTCTTATTGCTCAGAGTCTTTGGACAAGATCCTCTGCTGATCTGACCCGGGGAGTGGCCTCCACTTGAGTGGAGCTAATCTGAGCTGAGGATTTGTCCCACACTGTGTTTACTGCTTGATACCAGGAAAAGGAAAATTTCTCCAACTATTTTCTGCCAAGCAACTCAATCGGAGGAAAATCTCTCCTTTCCTTCTCCTACCAGGAAATTCACTCCTCCTGAAATCTCTCCCGCACTCCCTGCTTTCACAGAAGACCACTTGACCGATCCCCTGCGGTGAAATGCTGCCCTAGATTCACAGCTAACGGGGAGTTTTCTGGCTCAAAAAGGAGAAGGTGCGGCCTCTGCCCAACCTTACAGCGCTCAAAGAGGTAAGGAGGAGCAGGACACAGCGGTCAGGCTCGCATGCTGGGAGGTGCCTTCAGCATCTAAGAGTTTTATCAGAGCTTACGGTGGGCTGGGCTGAGGTGGGAAACCCCAAACCAGTGTCATATGCTTGGCGTAAAAGTAGTCAGGACTCCTGCACAGAGAGAGATGGGAAACAACAGATTTGAGCACTTGCATTCCCAGGTAGAGAAGGCACAAAATAACTGCAGGTTTCTGGCCACCCTTGTGGCCTTAGCTAGCCAAAAGGGTGACAAACACGACTTGCTTTGGCTTCCCCCTTACCTTCACGACGGTTACCATGCCTTCGTTGGTGACGGGGTCTGTCCGGATGGTGAAATGGCCAGAGGGGTCTCCGCTGATAATGCGGTAGATGGCATTCCAGTTGGGGGAGTGAGGCTGGTCCCGGTCCATCACCGTCAGATTTGCCACCACAACCTCCACTCTGTTCTCAGGAACTTCTCCTGAATACTGCGAATAACAGACAGGAGCGGTCATGGTGGGAGCTTTCTCTTGGTCCTCACGGCTACCCCCCTCTCCCCTACACCAGCACACCGACTGGGAGACCGGTCCCATGAAGAGGACCATGGGGTCATACCTTGTGAGCAACACATCTGTTTCTCACTTCTGTGTCTCCTTTTTTTTTTCTTTGAATATTCTTCCAAACCTTTTGAAGTTTGGTCTCACCTCTCAGCCCAAAGGAGAGCAAACCTGTTATCACCCAGTCACTGCCCCCAGGTTTCAGCAAATGCTTTAAGTAAATGAACAAAAGAATGTTCTTGATATTCTCGTTTAGTTACAGCAATCAGAGAGTTAATCGTCAACAGCAGGTAAAAACGGCAGAATAAAATGTGCCATTTTTAGGATGACTATGTCCCTTTAACCTGAGGTATTTTGCCTCACTCAGATTTCAGTGATGGCATTTTATTGCTTCTTCAGTGATTTTACTTCATTTTCTTTCTTTCTTGCCCTTGATTTGATTTTGTCTCATTATTTAAAGTGTTTCTTGTGATTTTGCCACAGCCTTTCCCGGTGCTTAATTCTCTCATTTAGCACTGATTTTCATGGAGCATGTCCAGTTCAGGCACATCCTGACGCATTAGCTGCATTCTTTTCTGCTTTCCATTCCTGATTTATCGTATGGCTGATCAGGGATCCTGGCCTGTGCACGCTTCCAGTGTTTGGGGCTCAAAAGCTGCCAGGAAGACACATTCCCAAATTTTCAACTGTCCTCATCTCTCAGCATCGCCTATTAGCAGCACTTGCAAATCAACACTCTGATTGACATATGGCAAATTAAACACTGGGGAAACGATGGGAGCGGTTGGCTCTGCGTCGGCAACTGAAATCCTGGCCCCAAACTGCAGGAGCGGAGCACTTCTGAAAATCTGGCCTTTGGTGGGCACAAATGCCAGGTTATGTAAATGACAATAAATCATTCCTTTGTTAGCACAAGAGTCCCCTTCCACTCCTAACCCATACCCATCCACTGCAGCCTTTCAGTTACGTGTGCTTATATTTAGTATATATTATCCCGCCACCGACAGCAAAAATATTCAATCTGCCTTATGTTAACGTAAATTTAAATTTGCCCTTTAGTGGTACCCTGAATGGCATTTTGCCCTCTTTTCCGTTATGCACCTGTCCGAAACAAGTTTTCATTAGTGAATGCAGATGGCGTCTCTCTCCAGCCATGCCGAGTGGGGGAGAAGAACAGTGGGAAGCTGCAGGATAATTCTAATGCCAGAACGCGCTACAGCTCTTCTCTTTCTTCCCCATGATTTCACTCGTTCTCTACCCATTCTCTTGCCCAATTTGGAATCTCTGCAGCACACAGCTTGCAGGGGAAATATCATACGGAAATTTAACAAAAACCTCTTGAAAAATCCATTAGATTATGTCATATGTACACTCCTATTATCAACCCTGTCTGGAACCTGCTCCGAAGAACTGAAGGAGATTAGTAAAGCAGGATTGTCTCTTACTGAATCCACACCAGTTACCGCCCATTACATTAAATGAATGTTGTATGGCATGTCAGCACCAACAAGCTGATGACCCCCCAGTCTCTTTTAGGAGGTGGCAGCATGGCTGACATCAAGGTATCGTCCCGCAATTCCAAAGGAGCGAAGTACTTCGTGCAGCCCTCTCTAATCCCTGACCTAGGACCACAGGTTTTTGTCCGTTACTACCAGGCTTACGCCTTGCAGAACCAAAAAGAACGAACTCATCAAGAGGAAGGCAGTGCCCGTCCTACAGGCTGCTGAACACCGTTAGCAGGTCACAGCCCAGGTGCTGCCGGTGAGTTTGGGTTACGTGGAAAAATCCCCCCCAGTCCCCAACAGATTTTACAGCAGCTTCTGTAAAACCCATCACGACACCCATTTTCGGCCCTTAGCCATAAACGTCACTACAAGACGTATTTTAAAAATATGAGGTATTTTAAAAATTATAAATGCACAAGCCCATCTCAATATAAAGCCTGGAGGAAGATCACTACAGTCTATAAAGCTTTTCCCTGAGGGCAAACCCCTCAGTGCTCGGCACACTCTGAGCAACGCAGGACTTCACCCAGTTGTTGCTGATACCTATTAGGGAACAATCAGTCCCAGGTAGCACTGAGGGGGGATATTGTCTGTTACGCTTATAAAGACAAACATTTTTCTGATGAGATGAGTGTACCTTCACTGGAACCAAAGGAGCCATCCAAAGCTCTTCAGGTTAAGAAGCAAATCTTGGAGAGATGCACCATGAAGAACAGAACAATCTTCATCAGCCGCACTTCAGCAGCTATTGGGAATCCAAACCGGAGCCTGGCTTTCCTCCTTCCAACACTCCCCCACTATCTTTGTTACAAGTTAATGCTGTAACGTGTATTGTCCACAATTGTCTTTACCTTCAATAAAATTAAGTAATGACATTACATTACATCTGCTAAAGGCAGGATGGCAGCTCAAAGCTACCCACTCTTCTTTAATGTCATTCCCTCCCTACCCTGGAGTAATTTAGGATAATGAACAATGCCATCTTTCACTGCGCTGCTTTGCAGCATTCCCTGCGCTGTAAGTTCTCTTTCATAAGATTACAATTGATTTTCAAATAAAGACAAACATATCTATTCAAACAAGGTAAAACAATGGGCAACGGAGGAGCTGTTGGAGTAAACATAAGATTGATAAAGCAGCGCTTGACCTATGCTTGTAGCATTTACTCACATTCCCCCGTATTTCATTTAGCTTCACTTTCAATTGTTGCATTTGAAGTCTTTACCTTCCGGAGTGCTTTTTTAAAGACCATTCACAAGGATTTCTATGGCTGATTGTTACACACTTCGCTTCCCTTCTCAGATAATGATTTGTTCTGAACCTGGCACGTTCTTAAATCCTTAAATTCTGTAGGGCCTTTTTTCTTCCTCTCCCGTAAGAGCCTGTGCTGGCAAAAACCCTTCTCTCATGCCTCTGGAGCTGGCCTGTCTGAAGGCGTGTCTTGCTGAAAAGGTCGTAATTCATTCCGATTTTCAAGTTGCATCAGATTATACTAAAATTGGTTAATCCCAGAGTTTGTCTTTTGTCTCACTCGGTACATATATATGACAGCATATAAACACGCAGACAAATATCACTCCGGAGGAGAAAGGGATTGATGGGGGACACACATGATGAATTCCCACAATGACTTGACTTTGTGCAATAAATCTGGAATCTGGGCGGTGAAGCCACGCACAGCAGAGTAAAACCAATTAGCTCACTGCAGCAACTCCTAGGGAGGTGTGGAATTGAGATGGATGAATACAAAGATAATTATTCAGGCTTCCTCCTAAAGGGAGTTCCTTTTTTCCAACGTTCTTACTTTTTTCCTAGCTGGTTTTGCTAAAAAGCTGTGAAAGCAAAGACTTGTTCACATGAATGTCTGCAGGAAGGATTTTTGTGTTGCCTCCAAGATTTGCTAATGATGATGCAACACTTGTTACAGACAGAAGTAGTTTATGCGGGCTGAACTGCCCAGAGAAATAGAGTATTTTATGACCTATAGCTATGGATTAATGCAGAATAAGGGCATCTCAGTCCTCTTACAAGACTCGGAGCCCTTCCCCTGACAGCTCTGACTGCTGCAGAGTGCTGCATCTTCTCCCTTGGTCCCCTAGGTCGAGGGAAACCCAAACGAGAGCGAGTGAGCACGCGTGTCTGCGTGGCGTGGGGTGTCCCAGCTCTCCCCGCTTTCTGCTGCCAGGCCACCCCGTCCCGCAGCACGACGCGCAGCCGGGGAACCCGCCACACCGACCCTCCGCTCCTCCGCGCTAGGGGCGTACTCCCACCCAAGCGCTGGCGTGTGAGCCAACCCTTTGCGTTCTCCACACGGTATTTAACAAAGACGCTTGAATAGCAGGCAAATTAATAAACAACTGCGGTCTGGTTGCAGCAATCTGTGTAAAATGGAAAAAAAAAAAAGATGAAAATCTCCTAATAAATCATTAATTGTGATGTGCCTGCCCAGCTGCAGCGCGGAAACAAGCAAATGCCATCCTAATTGATTGCTTCTTATTCCATCTTTATAGGTCTGCATTTTTTATTGTAAGGGTTGAATAAGCCCAGAGGTGTAAAAAACCTCTAGATTGTACTCTGTGTATCTGCCAACTTGATATTTAGATCAATAATCCTCTTTTTTTTTCTCCCCCTACTCCTACTACCGGTAATTTAGCTTTTCTTCCTAGCAGCCTAACTGCTGTTTTCTTAAGCCTTACTATCAATTCTCTGACCTTTAATTTCCAATATCGTTTGCTCTGTGGATGACTGTACTAGGTCTGCAAGTTATCCTGAACCTCTGCGCCGGACCGGTCAGACCTGGCCATCAGCTTCTGTGGCAGCCAAAGAGGGACCTCCAGGCTCTCACTCCACCGTTGCTGCTGTGCAGCGGAGACCACAAGCTCACTGGAATCCCCACAAAATCTCCATAAAGTCAACCACATTTTGTGTGCAAATCAGATTTTGAGATGGTCACTTCTTAATCACGTTTTACTAAAGAACTACTCACTCCAGTGTGTTCTTGAATGACAATCACCCTCTAAGTACCGATGTCCTCACCTGCTCCTGCTCTGCATTGCACCAGCCAGCAACCCCTACGGAAGCCTCCTGCCGTTGGGTTTTCAGGCTCATGTCCACAACACCCCCTGCACTGCCGCGTCCCTGCTTCAACCTCACCTTCACTCGGATCTGCTCCACAGTCCCTCCATGCACGCACATCACACGTCAGGCTAGTTAAATGCCACGTGGCAAATGCTTCCCAAAACATTCTCTATAAAGCCCAACGCACTCTTGCCAGCTCGCAGCTTTGCTCAGCTGGTACGAGGCCCAGCTGTCACCGTGCTCACGCAGGAATGACTTGCTCGGGCTGCGGGCACCGGCTCGCCGCAGTCGGGCAGGAGGCAGCCTTGCCCAGCCCAGCGCAGAGAAGTGCGTGACAATCAGCTCACC